TGATATTTGTGGCCTATGGGAAGAAATCTGTATTGGTTTCTGTCACACCCCTTTTCTACCCCCTCCAAAAGATAATGTGTGTTATGGATTGTGGGTTAAAGAGTTTTTTCTAATTAAAGTGACAAATTTGAAATAGGGAATATTTTGTTATTCAGAGTCGCCACTTGGAATTGATTTTTGGGTGTTCCAAGTCACCTTTTATTTGATCCCTATTCAAAGGAAAGTTTGGCTCTTTTATTATTGATGTGCGAAAACAAAGTCGAAGTAAGGAATTTTATTAACCGGGGAGAAGGTGTAAGGCATTCCCCGAGTCCCGTGGTTCTAGCACGGTTTCTTTATTGACTATATTTGGCTTATAATATTTTTTGGATAACTTGTGTTTTATTGGTTCTCATCTTTTACCTATGTCCGCTTTATTGCTTGATTAAAATTATGAAGAAAAAAAAAAGTTATCTTGAATTAAGTTACGTGTTCTAATACTTATTTTGTTACATATCACAATTATGTCACGGAGACCATACACATAGCCATGATATTTAATTATTTAAAGCGCACCTAAATAAACTAGCGCACTTGAAGTATTTTCCTAAATTAATTTAAGATTATTGTAAGGCCAAAAGTTATGGAATTATTTGTGGAAAAAGTGTATGATTTAAGATATTTGAATAAATAAATTATCATATACCAATACCCTACATCCCAACAATTGAAGCCTAAACTTATTAGTGTCCAAATCTTCCAAACTTTTAGCAAGTTTAAATACTATATTTTCAGAAACATGATTAAACATATAACATTTAAGGATTGATTTACATTATTATTTATAAAGTTTAAAGATAAATAAATAAAATCACATAAAATAAGATTATAAAAAAGAGAGGGAAGAATAAACCTTTTAATGCAAGATTTCCAATTAAATGAGTCTCCAAGAATATGTACAATAACTCAGACGAACGCCGAACAAGCATAAGCAAAGATGATCATCAAAGCCGGTGAACAGAGCTCCAACGGAATCCTCGACCTCGACTGTTAACACCACTCTTTGCCGTGTAAAAGGGGATGTTTTGAAGTATTTTTTGTTTGGTTTTGGGGTATTGAATTGCTGGAAATTTTCGAAAGAAAGAGGAAGAAAGAATAACACGAGTAGAAATTGTCGTAGCGTAGAAGAAGAAAAACATTTTGTTTCTCTCAATTCTCCCCTCTCTTTTCTCTCCTTTTCCCCCCTTTTCTTCTCAGATTTCCTCTTCTATTTATAGCAAAATTTTCGAAAATTTTCAGATTTTTTTTTAAAAAATATTTTATTATTTTTTAATTAAAAGAAATCCCACGTACAATTTGCTTTTCTTTTTTATAATAAGAAATCCCACTTTTATTTACTCTTATTTTTTAAATTTTAACTTTAATTACCTTTATCTTATTTAAAATATTACTTTTTTTACTTTTAAAAGAGGATTCCACTTATTTTATTTTTCTTAAAAAACACAATTCACTTTCTTTTGCTTTTCTTATAAAAATTCTACTTTCTTTTACTTTAATTTTTTTAAATTTTCCGCTACCTTTATATTTATATTTTAATTCCAACTTTCATTACTTTTTATTTTTTAAAATTTTTCACAAAACTTTACTTTTAATCTTTCACTTGCTTTTACTTTTTAAAAGAGAATTCCACCCACTTTTACTTTTATTTTTTTATTCCATACTTCCATTTTTCTTATTTTTTATATCTCACCCGAAATTTTAAAAAAAAATTAATAATTTTTCTGATTTCTTTTTTCTTATTTTAATAATAAAAATAAAAAATAAAATAATAGTAATAGTAATAATTCACCTTTTAAAATTTTATATTTTTACCCTATAATAAAAAGTGTAACAAAACTAAAAATTGTAGGTTAAAAACCCTAAAATATTTACATAGAAGAAGTGACAAAAAATTAAATATTGTCAAAAATTAGATGCTCACAGCTGCCCCTCTTTGCTTGGAAACATGAAGAGTTTTTGAGCAAAGATAAGGTGATCCATGTAACTAATTTTTGAACATATCTTTATTCAAAAGGGAAGAAATAAGGATAAGAGAAAAGAGAAAGGGTGCAACCGAGTCTTGGTTTTGGACAACCTACATATCCCGGGTTATATGGGAATCAGGTCGCGTGTAGTTCAAGAAGAACTGTGGAATGATGAGTTGAAAAGTCGAGTGAGGTTCCGTCAAGGCTCCGGTCCGTAAGTCTGTTATTACATCAAAAATAAAAAGAAACTAAACAAGCCTATCATCTATGAGTTACAAGATTCCTATCTATGAGTCTTCTGAAGCTTGATATTGAGTATTGGATGGTTCTTCCTGCAAACTCTAATCTGAATCTTGATGCTCGTTAGCTGCAACCGCTGGTTCATTCTTCTTCAACTTTTCAGATCAAAACGGAACATGCAGAGCTTGTGACTTCAACTATGTCTTGAGCAATCGACATCTTTCCTTCGCTTCTGCACTTTGGATTCACTTCTTTTCCTTTTTCTTTATTCTGGATTGAGACTTATTCTTTGGGCATCTCGAATCCTGTGCCTCGAGGTAAAACCTGCTCAGACACCAAAGCAAACAAACGAACGAAATTTTTCTGCCCTAGTTTTCACTAGGAAAATTTCGTGAGTTATTGTAACAAAATTCTAAACTACTTCTTTATTGAAAGCAATAAAATCAGGATTGTGTATCCTTGAGAAAAAGGGATTGGGGAGTGGGCCCTATATCTATACTAAAAGTCTACAAGGGAGTGGAGCCCCTATGTTGGAAAGCTCAGCTAGGGATTAACGTACCTATACTGGTAAAGGAAATGTAACTCGAGGTCGGTGCCATGTATTACTGAAAAGGAAATGTAACCAGAGGTTGGCACCCTGTATTACTGAAAAGGAAATGTAACCAGGGGTTGGTGCCATGTATTATTGAAAAGGAAATGTAACCAGGGGTTGACACCCTGTATTACTGACCAAAGAAAATGTTTAATCCCCATGGGTGATAAAGTTCTACCTGGGTTAAACTAACAAAAGTAAATCTGGGCGAAGAAGACTTCTACCCGAAAACTATGAGCCGGATCTCCCTAGGCAAAAAGGTTTTACATGGGTTAAGCTAATGTAAAACAACCTGAGCGAAGAGTACTTCTACCCGGAACTATGAGCTGGATCCCCCTAGGAGAAAAAGGTTCTACCTAGGTTAAGCTACATAAAAATAGCCTGAATTATGAGCTAGATCCCCCTAGGCGAAAAAGGTTCTACCTGGGTTAATCTACATAAAAATAACCTCAACTATCAGCTGGATCCCCCTAGGCGAAAAGGTTCTACCTGGGTTAAGCTAATGTAAAACAACCTGAGCGAAGAGTACTTCTACCCGGAACTATAAGCTGGATCCCCCTAGGTGAAAAGGTTCTACCTTGGTTAAGCTAATGTAAAAACAACCTGAGCGAAGAGTACTTCTACCCGGAAATATGAGCTGGATCCCCCTAGGCGAAAAAATTCTACCTGGGTTAAGCTACGTAAAAATAACCTGAGCGAAGAGTACTTCTACCCGGAACTATAAGCTGGATCCCCCTAGGTGAAAAGGTTCTACCTGGGTTAAGCTAATGTAAAATAACCCGAGCGAAGAGTACTTCTACTCGGAACTATAAGCTGGATCCCCCTAGGCGAAAAAGTTCTACATGGGTTAAGCTAATGTAAAACAACCTGAGCAAAGAGTACTTCTACCCGGAAGTATGAGCTGGATCCCCTAGGCAAAAAAGGTTCTACCTGGATTAAGCTACATAAAAATAACTTGAACTATGAGCTGGATCCCCCTAGGCGAAAAGGTTCTACCTGGTTTAACCTAATGTAAAACAACCTGAGCGAAAAATACTTCTACCGGGAACTATAAGTTGGATCCCCCTAGGCGAAAAGGTTCTACTTGGATTAAGCTAATGTAACAACCTGAGCGAAGAGTACTTCTACTCGGAATTATAAGCTCGATCCCCCTAGGCAAAAAGTTTCTACATGGGTTAATCTAATGTAAAAACAACCTGAGCGAAGAGTACTTCTACCCGAAAATATGAGTTGGATCCCCCTAGGCGAAAAGGTTCTACCTGGGTTAAGCTACGTAAAAATAACCTAAGTGAAGAGTAATTCTACCCGGAACTATAAGCTGGATCCCCCAAGGCGAAAAGGTTTTACCTGGGTTAAGCTAATGTAAAAACAACCTGAGCGATGAACACTTCTACCCCGAACTATAAGCTGGATACCCCTAGGCGAAAAGGTTCTACCTGGGTTAAGCTAATGTAAAAACAACCTGAGCGAAGAGTACTTCTACCCAAAATATGAGCTGGATCCCCCTAGGCGAAAAAGGTTCTACCTGGGTTAAGCTACGTAAAAATAACCTGAGCGAAGAGTACTTCTTCCCGGAACTATGAGCTGGATCCCCTATGCGAAAAGGTTCTACCGGAGTTAAGCTACCTGAGCGAAGAGTACTTCTACCCAAAATATGAGCTGGATCCCCCTAGGCGAAAAGGTTCTACCTGGGTTAAGCTACGTAAAAATAACCTGAGCGAAGAGTACTTTTACCCAGAACTATAAGCTAGATCCCCCTAGGCGAAAAGGTTCTACCTGAGTTAAGCTAAATAAAAATAGGAGGTAGGAACAATAGTAACGTATGCCAAAAGTAAAAGAAAAATGGAGATTTTAAGGAACTTACGTTTGGTGACCTTCGTTCTTTTAGAATCACCATTCTGCATGCTTTGTTCCTGCTTCAAACAAAGAAAAATTTGTGGGTTTTCAAAGTGGTAGTTGGTTTGTGGCCTTGATACCCTGAGTAGCTTGGTTCTCAACCACTGCTGTCAAAGAACCTATTCTGTCAGCGTGGTACCGAGATGTCCATGGTACCGCTACCCTTGTCTCTAAGGCAAGGCTATTTTTTCTTTAAAATCAAGCTCAGTTTTCTTGCACCCAGTATCGGTTTGTGTCTGTAGTGCTTATCAACTTTTCTTATGAAGCAGGTTTTGCTTAGGCGACCTTTTCAGTTTCTTTGAGACACTTTGTTCGCCTTGTCAAATGAGATCACAGATGGATTTGTGCCTTCGTCAATGCCATATATGCCGCAAATTGTGCTTGACATTACAGGGAAACTGTATCCAGTTTTGCAGCCCTTTCTTTGCTTCGATTTTGATGCAGGATTAGACCGAAAGGGACTAAAAGAAAAAATTATGGGTAAAAATAGAATAATAATTGGAAGCGAAAAAAAACTGTGCTTAAACAAAAGGTATCCCTTTTGGGGAAAGGAACATGGAGACTTATCTGGAGGTATGTGCCGACTTCAATGAATGATGACATGCATTTTGGACTGGACACCTGATCTGTCTAAGCTGTCTAATTCTCAAAATCTGCGCAAATTCTCATCTTGAATTTGTCTTGGTTGTGCTCATGCCAGAGAATCGAAGACCCTTATTCAGCTAGTAGCGCCCTTTGCAGGTTTTCGCTAACTAACCTCTCTCATTTCTCTACTAACCATCGCATTATGGTGCCCATCTGGGTTTTCACCTATAAGACTCTCTCATCTCTTTGTTCATTGTTGCCTTATAGTGCCCGTACGTGTTTTCACTAATAAGACTCTTTTTTTTACTAAGATACTGCATGATGGAGGTTACCCAACGCCCTTGGCATGTGAACATCAAACATTCTCAAACACATCGATCAAAAGCTCTTGAAAGGTAAAAAGTCGAAATGAACCTTGAAACAAATTACAACTTTTGGAAACCATTTTTACAGAAAAACCGTGAAATAAAACAAACTTCTGACCCAGTTTTGGAGTACTAGGAATATGGGTTTTTTGTTCTGATGGGACCGTACCCAAGGTAAGGCTGCCTACATATCCTTTCGGAATCAGGTCTCACGTAGTTCAATGTAAGGATTTTTGTTTTTGGCTTTTTGGCTTTTTTTTTCTTTTCTTTTCAAGTACACAGGTAGACAAATACATATCAAAAGGCTTAACAAAAGTGTGACACCTATTTGGATTAGCGATAAAATGATAGCCTTTGTCACTTCAATCTGAGAAAATTAATGCGTGAAATTCTACAGTGGGTATATATCAGACATAATACCTTTTTACTGCATCGGCGTTAATAGTCATGTCTGGTACCCGCCCTTTCTCATCTACCAAGTGCAAGGCCCCTTTTGGTAACACTTTCTTAATGATATAGGGACCTTGCCAGTTCGGGGCGAACTTTCCTTTAGCTTCCACCTGGTGCGGAAGGATGCATTTCAACACCATCTGGACTACCTCAAACTGCCTTGGGCGCACTTTCTTATTGTATGTACGTGCCATTCTTTGCTGGTACAACTGGCCAAAACACACTACTACTAGCCGTTTTCCATCGATCAACATCAGTTGTTCTAATCGGTCTTGATCCACTCAGTGTCTTCAATATCTGATTCCATAATAATTCAGAGAGAGGGAATTTCGACTTCAGCGGGTATTACACCTTCAATTCCATATACAAGCAGATACGGAGTTGCACCAACAGATGTGCGAATAGTCGTGCGGTATCCCAAAAGAGCAAAAGGCAGTTTTTCATGCCATTGCCTGGAACCTTCGATCATCATCCGAACAATCTTCTTGATGTTCTTGTTTGCTGCTTCAACGGCTCAATTGGCTTTCGGCTGGTAAGGAGTAGAATGGCGATGCATGATTTTAAATTGTTCGCATACCTCCTTCATCAAATGACTATTTAGATTGGTTGCATTGTCAGTGATAATGGTCTTTGGGATACCAAAGCGATAAATGATGTTGGAGTGAACAAAATCTACCACTGCTTTCTTGGTGACTGCTTTGAAAGTGACGACCTCTACCCACTTGGTGAAGTAATCAATTGCAACCAAAATGAATCTATGCCCATTTGAAGCCTTTGGCTCGATCGGCCCAATGACATCCATTCCCCAAGCAACGAACGACCAAGGAGAGGACATTGGGGAGCCACCTTATAGTTCTTTTTTGATCTACTTTGGCATGCTCTGGATATTCTCTTATTTTCAGGAATCGTTTGATGTCATGATACCATGGTTCACCATCTAGTTTCGTATCAATTGTATTGCAGTAACCGTGTTGATTTCGAACTTGTATTTCTAGTGGGTTAACATGAGAGTTGCCTGGATAAGGTAGCATCGAGGCTAAAGTGGCCAAGGCATCGGCTAGCTCGTTGTGACCTGGGAGTGTACCTGAACTTGATGGATCTGAATCTTTTGCTCAAGTCTTGCACACATTGTCTGTACGGAATAAGCTTGATGTCTTGAGTCTCCCATTCACCTTGGGTTTACCGGATAATCAAGTCAGAATCTCCCATAACCAATAGTTCATGCATATCCAGATCGATGGCCATTTTCAAACCCATGATACAGTCTTTGTATTATGCCGTATTATTGGTACAGAAGAATCGAAGTCGGGATGTTGCAGGGTAATGGTGTCCAATAGGTGAGATGAGGATTGCCCCGATCCCAACTCCTGTTGACAGCCCCATCAAAATACATTTTCCATACAGGGTGATTGTCTAAAACTACTTCCTCTATTGAGTTGACCTCTTCATCTGGGAAGTATGTGCTAAGTGGCCAGTACTCATCATCAACTGGATTCTCTACCAAATGATATGTCAAAGCCTGTGCTTTCATCGCAGTGCGAGTGACATAGACGATGTTGAACTCTGTGAGCAGGATTTGCCATTTTTCGAGCCTGCCAGTGGGCATTGGCTTTTGAAAGATGTACTTCAAAGGACCCATTCTGGATATGAGGTAAGTAATGTAGACCAAAAGATAATGTCTCAGATTTTGAGCGACCCAAGTCAAGGCACAACATGTCATTTCTAAAAGGGTGTACTTAACCTCATAATTGGTGAACTTCTTGCTTAAATAGTAGATTTCATGTTCCTTTTTGCATGTTGCATCATGTTTCCCAAGAACACATCCCAAGGAATTATCCATCACTAATAGATATAAAAACAAAGGCCTACCAGGTTTAAGTGGGACTAGTACAGGGGTTTTTGACAGATAATCTTTGATCCTGTTAAAGGATTTTTTGCAATCGTCTGTCCACTTGATAGCGGCATCCCTTTTTAGCAACTTAAAGATGGGCTCGCATGTGGTTGTGAGCTAAGAAATGAACCTGCTGATGTAGTTTAACCTCCCGAGTAAACTCATGACTTCCTTTTTGTTCTTCGGAGGTGGCAAATCTTGAATGGATTTTATCTTATATGGATCCAGTTCAATGCCTCTTCGGCTGACTATAAAACCGAGGATTTTCCTAGATGGAACCCCAAATGCACATTTGGCTGGATTAAGCTTAAGGTCATACTTTCGAAGCCATTCAAAGAACTTTTTCAAATCGCACACGTGATCAGCCTGTGTCTTTGATTTTATGATGACATCATCGACATATACTTCAATCTCTTTATGCATCATGTCATGAAAAATTGTGGTCATGACCCTCATGTAAGTTTCCCCTACATTTTTTAAACCAAATTGCATGACCCTGTAACAATAAGTACCCCATGGAGTGGTAAAAACGGTTTTTTCTGCATCATCTTCATCTATTAGAATTTGATGGTACCCAGCATAGCAATCCACGAATGATTGTATATCATGCTTTGCGCAATTATCTACAAGAATATGGATATTTAGCAGAGGAAAATTATCCTTTGGACTTGCTTTGTTCAGGTCCCTGTAGTCAACACAGACTCTGGTTTTTCTATTCTTCTTTGGCACAGGCACAACATTCGCCACCCAGGTGGTGTATCGGACAGCTCTGATCACATTAGCATTCAGTTGCTTCATTATTTACTCTTTGATTTTGTCACTAATATCTGTTTTAAATTTTCATTGCTTTTGTTGGACTAGTGGAAAATCAGGATATGTAGGAAGCTCATGAACCACTAGATCGACACTTAACCCGGCATATCATCGTAAGACCAAGCAAATACATCTCTGTATTCAAATAAAAGTTTAATAAAGGCATCTCTGGTTTTCTGTTAGGTGTGAATGCTTATCTTCATTTCTCTAATTTCTCCAAGACTTCCGAAATTAATTGGCTTAGTTTCATTGAGGTTGGGCTTAGGCTTGTATTCAAATTGTCCCAACTCTCTTTTTATTTCCTCAACAACCTCATCTTCATCATATTCCACCTCTTGATGCATTATTTCGATATTAGACAACTTTTTAAGATCTGGGCGTGAATTCCTTATGCATGTCATGTTATTAAAGCTGGCATTAACAAAACTGAAATGGAAATAAAATGACAGGAATTAGGAAAAGGGAAAGATACAAAACTTAATACGAAACTAAACTGCATTTCATTGAATTCGAAAGGATAGAAGGGTTAACATTAAAATAAAACAATCACACTGAGATGTTTGGATTACAACCCTGAAAGTAACCGAAAAATACAAAAAAGAAGCTACAAAAGCAAACTACCAAGACTCCTTCCTTGTGGGGAGATGAGTTTCTTCCCAGTTGGTGAGCATGGTGTCTAGGTCAATTAGTTTCATATCGGCACGACTAGTGCCTTCACCGACTTGGATCATATTCACATCAGAAAACATCTGGCTGAGGACATGGAAAATTTCATCAATGTTTGCATGCGTCGAGGAATTTTGAACCTCTTGGAGTCTTGGCTTGACAAAAGTGTACAAAATGTGAGGGATAGGTTGTTGCAAGACCCATCCATGCTTTTTGTGGTGCTTGGATTTGTTTTTGTATGCTTGTGTTGGCCTGAAGCCTAAACCAAAAGTACCCCAGTTATTGAATGGAGAAATAGGCTATGAAATTCCTTGCAATGATGCCCTCAAGCCTTTCCCTGGGTCATAACCTTGTCTCATTATAACCACAACTACCATTATAGATGTGGTGGAAAGACGAGGATGCAGAATGGGCTTTCCTTCCTCAACATGGTCCACAGAAACCACTTCGAAAGCTTGGTAGACAATGGACTCACACCCTTCCTTGGCCTCAATGTACGGGATTAACGAGTCTTTATAAATGGATGACTCGTCTTCTCCGTGAACAATAATCTCTTGCCTATTGTGTTCGAAGTTGACCATCTGATGCAATGTGGATGGCACAGATCGAGCCATATGGATCTATAGACTTCCAAGAAGAAAGTTATAAGAAGTGTCCATGTACACTACTTGGAAGACAAT